ATTTATTTATTTATTTATTTATTTATTTATGCATATACAAGAATGTACATAAGGAATGTGAGGATACAAATATGGTAATTACAGTCTTGTAAAGCCACTAGTACGCGCAGCGTTTCGGGCAGGTCCTTAATCTAAGAAAATTTTAAGGAGGTAAATGCTTGCAAAATTTATAGACAAAAAATGATAAATGGTTCACCACTCTGCTTCAAACACATATAATCACCAACAGAACGTAATCACCCAACATAATTTAACCTACACCTAACTATACGCTGAATTTTATTGTATAATAATATAATTTATATATGAGAATAAATTTTTGTTTTTATTACACATGTTGGGTAAACTGATTCGTGGGATTTATTTATTTATTTACAATTTATTAATATATTTTTACGTTAATTTATTTATTTCGATAACGGACTGTATGATGTTAAAGTGGACTGTATGAGTTAAATTCCCACAAATCGTTTCCTACACAAGCGGGGGGGGGGGGGGTGGGGTGGGGTGGGGTGGGGTGGGGGGGTGGGGGGGGGGTGGGAGGGGGATATTATATATATATATAGTCTATCAATCGAAATTATTGAGTGGTAAATATTCCCAATAATATTAAAGACTACATAGATTAGTAAATAAAATGGGGAAGCCTTATCAGTATGGTAGTTTTTGGCCTGGACAACCAGATATGACGCGGATGATAACACTAAGTAATACTCCTTGTAGGTGACGCTATAGTGTCTGCCCATGTCACCTGTTGTATCTGGTAATTGTTACTAATTCTTCTTCCCCTTCAATTTCACCTGTCAAAGAGCACTCACAATAATAATCGTAAACTGTATATGACAGTTACATCAGGGGAAAACATTGTAATTTATTAGATAAGATTTAATTAATAATTACCCTGTTTGGGGTAGCTCGCCAAGCGTTCTCACCGGTATACCCTGATCTACCTAACATTGCTGGCCAGGAATGACTAGATTTAACATGTTATCGTGTACAGAACACTTCCCATATTGTTGACGAAGCTGGGCTGATGATGGGAGCTGATTACCTCCCACAACACCGAGTCTTGAGGGAAGTAAATTCTGAGTTTTGTGGAGCTTCAGCGAGACGTTAATGTCTGCCGCCCTCCACTCTCCCTCCAGCAGCGGCTGTTCTCCAGATGCCTTTATCAAGAAGTCGGAAGAGGGGTTTTATTTATTTTGTTTTAGTTCTAATAATTAAGTTGGTTTAAGGGAATTGTTTTTATGATGTTTACAATCCATAAACTGATGTTTTAAGAAGAATTCCCAATATTATTAGCTGGAGAATTTAATGGCGACATATGGCAATGATATCCCTAGTTTTTTTTTCTGAGGAAAATTCCACTGAAATCTCGTTTTCTTTGAGTTAATTTGTCAATAGTAAATCAACACAATATTATCTGCCTATTGTATTGAAAATTAGTCAAGGGTGTCGGTTTTTCCAACAACACAGAATGTTAAAACTGATGAATGCGTCTCAGTGAACGGCCGCCGCTCTAACGAGCCTGCGCTGAGGACAGGTTGCAGGAGACTATGTAGCGCGTTTGATTTCCCAAATCTTCAGTAACTTTTCATGCCTTTTAGCTCTCGTACTAGTCTGGCGACTTACCACTGAGCTTTTTCCGCCTTCATTTGTTTTTAACGAAATATAGAGTATATGCTGGGGCTACATACTCCAGAACTAGTCTGACGTACGTGGGAAACAGCGTCCTGAACGACTCCCTGTTCAGAGTTGTTTACTGTACACGTGCACCTGGTAAGACAAATGGTGGAGGTTGTGAGGGAGCCAGACGACCATTCCTGCAACCCGACCACCGTGCACTGACACATTAAAACACTCAACAGTGCGGAAACTGGGGCCAGCACGCACACACTGGGTGTAACAGTGCTGGGAGGGTGTACCAGCACGCACACACTGGGTGTAGCAGTGCTGGGTGGGTGTACCAGCACGCACACACTGGGTGTAGCAGTGCTGGGAGGGTGTACCAACACGCACACACTGGGTGTAGCAGTGCTGGGAGGGTGTACCAGCACGCACACACTGGGTGTAGCAGTGCTGGGAGGGTGTACCAGCACGCACACACTGGGTGTAGCAGTGCTGGGAGGGTGTACCAGCACGCACACACTGGGTGTAGCAGTGCTGGGAGGGTGTACCAGCACGCACACACTGGGTGTAGCAGTGCTGGGAGGGTGTACCAACACGCACACACTGGGTGTAGCAGTGCTGGGAGGGTGTACCAGCACGCACACACTGGGTGTAGCAGTGCTGGGAGGGTGTATCAGCACGCACACACTGGGTGTAGCAGTGCTGGGTGGGTGTACCAGCACGCACACACTGGGTGTAGCAGTGCTGGGTGGGTGTACCAGCACGCACACACTGGGTGTAGCAGTGCTGGGAGGGTGTACCAGCACGCACACACTGGGTGTAGCAGTGCTGGGAGGGTGTACCAACACGCACACACTGGGTGTAGCAGTGCTGGGAGGGTGTACCAGCACGCACACACTGGGTGTAGCAGTGCTGGGAGGGTGTATCAGCACGCACACACTGGGTGTAACAGTGCTGGGAGGGTGTACCAGCACGCACACACTGGGTGTAGCAGTGCTGGGAGGGTGTATCAGCACGCACACACTGGGTGTAGCAGTGCTGGGAGGGTGTACCAGGACGCACACACACTGGGTGTAGCAGTGCTGGGAGGGTGTAACAGCACACACACTGGGTGTAGCAGTGCTGGGAGGGTGTACCAGGACGCACACACACTGGGTGTAGCAGTGCTGGGAGGGTGTACCAGCACACACACTGGGTGTAGCAGTGCTGGGAGGGTGTACCAGCACGCACACACTGGGTGTAGCAGTGCTGGGAGGGTGTACCAGGACGCACACACACTGGGTGTAGCAGTGCTGGGAGGATGTACCAGCACACACACACTGGGTGTAGCCAGGCGTCGCCGCTCTGGACTCAGTCCAATACCTTCTCTTTCATTAGCGGTTAACGGAGAGGGAGATTTTTTGTACCTAATTGTTGTTTTCGGAGGTAGTTCGAGGACGACCATTTCTGACCCAGGACGCCCCCTTCAGGCCCAGGACGCTTCCGTCCGGTCCAGGCGTCCCCTTTCGGCCCAGGGGTTCCCTTCCGGCCAAGGCGCCCCATTCCGGCCAAGGCGCCCCATTCCGGCCAAGGCGCCCCCTTCCGGCCAAGGCGCCCCCTTCCGGCCAAGGCGCCCCCTTCCGGTCCAGGCGTCCCCTTCTGACCCAGGACGCCCCCGTCCGGCCCAGGACGCCCCCGTCCGGCCCAGGACGCCCCCGTCCGGCCCAGGACGCCCCCGTCCGGCCCAGGACGCCCCCGTCCGGCCCAGGACGCCCCCGTCCGGCCCAGGACGCCCCCGTCCGGCCCAGGACGCCCCCGTCCGGCCCAGGACGCCCCCGTCCGGCCCAGGACGCCCCCGTCCGGCCCAGGACGCCCCCGTCCGGCCCAGGACGCCCCCGTCCGGCCCAGGACGCCCCCGTCCGGCCCAGGACGCCCCCGTCCGGCCCAGGACGCCCCCGTCCGGCCCAGGACGCCCCCGTCCGGCCCAGGACGCCCCCGTCCGGCCCAGGACGCCCCCTTCAGGCCCAGGACGCCCCCGTCCGGCCCAGGACGCCCCCGTCCGGCCCAGGACGCCTCAAGATCCGTTGACAGTGTGACAACCTCACGAGTCGTGAAGTTCGGTGTGGTGGAAGGAAGCTATAGCGAGGGACATGAAGGGGCCGGAGGGAGGACACTGTAGGGTCCTGAGGGGCGGAGGGAATTATCAAGGGAAAGTGCCAAGCCATTTACGACTCTATAGCGGATCGTGAGGGAGAACTGACAAGTGTTCCACCAGGCTGACCACGGTGACATAACAACACTGCACCGTAGTGATGTCATAAAACTACCATGGTGATGACACAACTCTTCCATGGTGACATCACAACACTGTACCATGGTGACATCACATTATACCATGGTGACATCACATTATACCATGGTGACATCAAAACACTATACTATGGTGATATCACAACACTATAACATGGTTACATCACAACTCTATACTATAATGACATTACAACACTGTACCATGGTGACATCACAACAATATACTATGGTTACGTCACAACACTATACCACCTTTTGACATCACACCACTATACCATTGAGACGTAACAACACTATACCATGGTGACAGTAAAACACTATACCATGATAACAGCACAACACTGTACTATATTGACATTACAACATTATACCATGGTGACATCAAAACACTATACGTTGGTGACATCACAACACTGTACCATAGCAACATCACAACACTATACCATGGTGACATCAAAACACTATTCCAAGGTGACATCACAACACTATACCATGGTGACATCAAAACACTATTCCAAGGTGACATCACAACACTATACCATGGTGATATCAGAACATCTTGAGATAGGGTGCGACTCTCAAGTTGTTCCGCGATTCGTTTTCTTCGCCTATATAGGGAACAACGTTCCCGTTCCAATCTGCATCTCTTCCTCATTTTTCTTAGGGGTATGCGGTTTGAACATATTTCTAGTGCTACTGAGCTTATTTTTTCCAGGCACTGGTTCAGGTTTGCATTTTCTAGCTGTTCTTCCCAGTTTATTTCTGTGAAGTCCTGGTTTATTTGCTCCCAGTTTATCTGTTTATTATTGAAGTTGAATTTGCTGAAATCTCCTCCACCGGGAATCTGGACTGGTTTTGAAGGTCTACTCCCCATGGTTGTCATAACTTCAATTAAGTTGTGATCTGAGTAACATACTAAATCAGAAACCCCCCAAAAAACTTATCTATTAATTATATGAGTCTCATTCTAACATTCAGGAATGAACAAGAACCAAAACACTCCAGCAGTCATCTACAGCAGCATCCCACCGCTTCATAGAAATTTCTTTTTACATACGAGGATTGGTTATTTAAACACAATATTAAATACAAAAATTCATTAGCAAAGGCAAGATACAGCATCATGATACAGCTGAAATACAATTGGAAGAGCTACAAGCCATTGTATTCAATGCTGGACGGAACACTTCTTAAATAAAAGTTCTGCACACCTTAGAATCCTAGAAGGAATGGCCTTTATTTTGAACAAGTTGAAGCTGATTAGTTTTTATGCATATGCATTTTCAATTCTGAATGGTAACAAATGACCAACTGCTCTGGAAATCTTAAACAAACCTGATATAAAGCAATTGAAATAATTATATAGTTAATATTTGGCATCCAATCTGATATCTCTACATACAAATACAAAATAGTATGTATATAATATTTGTTTATTGTGCATATTGTATATTTCGTATTTACAGTATATTTATGAATGTAATATCAAGTTTAGAATTTGAATTGCTTGAGAGTGGAATTTGAATCGCTCCTAAGTTAAGTAGATCTGACAACCACTGACTCTTACGTTGATATAATTTCCATTAGCTATGCCAAGAAGGTCTGGCATTCACTGGCTATGCCCCAGCAGATATGATATGCACCAACTATGCCAACTTGATCTTGTCTTTATTAATTATCAGGTCTTCACTGACAATGCCAGTCAGCTTGAAAGCATTGTATTAAATGTATAGGTACAACTACACAGCCTTTCATGTGTTTATAAAAATTGTCTGGGTTATGTGATACAGTGGTATTAAGCAAGAATTTTTGGACAAAGGCAAATTATTGGTTTATACAGACTGAGGAGTATATGTCAAAGTTTAAGTCAGTTTATGAGGGTGTATGATATTACAAACTGCTTCCTGAAGGGCAAACATCACACACAACTCACCATCACAACAACACAACACTGTCATTTCATTACTGCTCTCCAGCACAAGATTATAGTAACATTGGTTTTCCTTTATATGTATGTGTGTATGCAAGTATACTAGTAGAGACTGATCTACAATAATATAGGCTTCCACTGCATACTAGTACAAAGTTGGGTCCACAATAATATCATGCTAATACCATGCTTGAGCACATTATTGGTAGTGTATTGCATAGTGGTGGAGAGCCGCACCATATGTTACTTGAACTTCTAGAAGCTCTTCACATGGTTTTTATCATAATGTAATATTGTTGGTGATTGGCACCTCACTGTCATTGTTGGTCCAAAAGGCCATTTGATTTTTATTTATACCAAAAAAGTGTCCAATTCATGGAAAACCAATATCGTCTTTCTACATAAATGCATTAAAATTCAAGCATTCAGATATTAAATATTGTATAGTATGTCATATTTATCAATAGTATTTCTCTAATTCAATTAATGAACCACATTAAGGGAGTTTGAGTTAGCCAAGCAGTTTTATATAATTGTATTAAAGTCTTTACATATTAAATATATAATTTTGAAATACAGTACTGCATAAGGTAATGATGACCAAACCACACATCAGAATTAAATTGTTACACGATTTGATAATGGTCCAGGACGGATCAAAACATCGTCGTTTCTTCACTTTCTGATGTGCAGTTTGGCCCTCATATCTTCAGAAATATTATTGTGACTCATTGTCTGCATGTAAGATGATGATAATTTAAAAAATCGGTACAAGCCATGATGAGGATTTTAACCTGCACACTGGGTACTCTCAAGCATACATCCTAAACAACTTGGTGATGACTTGCTAAACACAATGCAACCTGGGATTCAACTGAATCGTCTAGAGGTCCTGAGACTTCCACTGAAGCCCAGTTGGAGTTTCACACATCATCCCCCTGCGCTTTGACTGTAGTATAAGAGCTCTACCTCCAGTGCTTCTCTTCAAATGCATTTCTTTGTACAATAATCATTTAATCATAATGAATGAACTTAAAATTTAAAATACCAGTTTATGAATACAGTAGTTTTGTAAATTAAATGTTTATTTAAATTTATTGTATCTTTTACAATTTTGAATTTCATATTGAAAACTATGAGCAATGTATATGCTACATAACCCCTATCCTCCTTAACTATCATGAATTTACTATCAGACAATGCAAAGCTTATTTGTAGGTCAACGGCAAGACTACTTGTCATTCATGTGTGTTGACCAGAACACTGGTGGTCAAGGACAAGACCGCTTACCACACATATGTGTTGACCAAAATACTATGGCAGTGATCACCACTCTTTCTATATAACAAAAACATCAAAAAAGACCTTGATCTTGGTTAGGAATGTTACTTGAAAACCTGAAACCCCTTTGTTAATACTGTACTTTATCCAATCAAACTTTTGAAGGAAAAACTAGTAAATTAAACAATTTTCCTGTGTTGTAGCCCGGTCTTATGTGTGATGTACCCTAAAACATATACTGTATATTCATTCTGTGTACTAATATTATCATCTTGGCAGATTACTATATACTGTACTTGATGGATTTACAATGTTGGATAATTTTTGTAGATAACAACAGCTTCATACACACATACACAAAACTTTTAACTTAACAGATATAAAAGTAATTTTTCTTGTTCTATTAAAGTTTTACATTTAGAATGATGCATAGCATATTAGAATCCAAATATAAAGAGGTGATAAACTATTTATTATTTTTACCAACTTCATCTTAATAAACATTTGAAATCCACAAACACATCATAATTTAAACACCTACAATCTTAACTGAAACTACAGTCTTAAATGAAACTAGGGTCTTAACTGTAATTATTGTTTTAACTGTAACTACAATCTTAACTGTAATTATGGTCTTAACTGTAACTATAGTCTTAACTATAACTATAATCTTAACTGCAGTCTTAACTATGGTCTAAACTAAACTATCATTACAAACTAAAGATGAAGAATATAGCACCAGATCAGTAAGATTATCTAACGCTTGACTTAGATCAATTTTCCCTCTTAAAGCTTAATCCCCAGATAATATGGCAAGATCACCTTGCTTAAGGGAATATGTCACACAAAGTTTACATTTAGTTGTCACTGAGAATGCAATCGGATGATGAACTATACATACTAGTCTACAGTATTCTAAAGTTTTTGTTACCATTGTAGGATAAGATTTTAAATGTAAGATCAACCTCTGGTATTGATATTTATTCTTGGTTTGAACACTATGATGATGAGTCAGTTACCCAGGAACACCATGATGATGAGTCAGTGACCCAGGAACACCATGATGATGAGTCAGTGACCCAGGAACACCATGATGATGAGTCAGTGACCCAGGAACACCATGATGATGAGTCAGTGACCCAGGAACACCATGATGATGAGTCAGTGACCCAGGAACACCATGATGATGAGTCAGTGACCCAGGAACACCATGATGATGAGTCAGTGACCCAGGAACACCATGATGATGAGTCAGGGTTCAAGGTTCACTATAGTAAAAATCGTCTCTAATCAGCTTATAATTTATTTTCATAATTAAGAAGCCTAGACAACAAGAGTTGAGGTTTTATTTGGTGGCACTCTGTTTGTCTATTCTCAAGTCTGAAAAAAAAATTGGCTACCAGTTGATGTTGTGACCAAACTGAGTACTGAATACAGAAAAGGTGACCAAATTGTGAATGTACATGGTTAATAGTGTTCCCAAATTGGGTACTGTATATGGCTAATAATATTACCAAATTGGGTATTGTATAAATTCTCATCTACACTTCTGTGGAAATAAATATTCAACTCATCTGGGTTCTAGGAGACTCGAACCGTGGACCCCATGAGTGTGTGAGGCTGAAGCTCTATTGACTGAGCTATTGAGTAGTCTTAATAAGGAAAGTTTCCAGAAGCAGCATCCTTCTGCCAAACTGGACCTTTTGACTTTCCCTGATTACTACTGAAGCTCAGAGGAATTAGTGATCCATGCTCTCGGCCCATATATGACATTGGCATGGATCACTAATTCCTCTGGGCTTCAGTAGTAGTCAGGGAAAGTAAAATATTCCACTTTGGCAGCAGGATACTGCTTCTGGAAATTTTCTTTATTAAGACTACTCTTAGCCCAGTCGATAGAGCTTCGGCCTCACACGTGTGGGGTTCATGGTTCGAGTTTCTTAAAATCCAAGTGAATGGAATGGGTACTGTATAATGGCTACTAATGCTACCAAATTGGTGACTGTATATGACTAATAGTGTTAACAAATTGGATACTGAATATAGTCAATTACTTAGTGTTGGTCATACAATCTCTCAAGAATGTATTTTCATACATTAGTGATCTTTCCGCATCATCTTCCACTGGTTCAAGAGACATAAATATACAAACTAATTTTGGTTTGATAAAATCTGTCCAACTTGTTTTCCAAAACTGCTTCTATATTCTTTGGTTTTAATTAAGAAAGCATGTCATGTATATAATGGTATAATGTACATTATTATTAAAGCAGCAGACTGTAAAGCAAAATACCTATAATTTAGAATCTGACAATGACATTTTCTAAATCAACAGTGTTCAGAAGCATGAAGTATGTTAATGAAAATTCAATGTAAGTCAGTCAAATCAAATAGCTAAACCCAGAAGGCTATACAGAACTGTGGTACAGAATATTTGAAAGTTCTTAGATATCATTCAGGATGCCAATAAGAGAGCAGAAAGACATAAAATGAGCCTTGTCAAAGGTAGCAGATTCACCAAGGATTTACTGAAGCAGTAGGAAAGCTAACATTTCTGATCATCCTGAAAATCAGTATGTTCTAAAAGAATGATAATTTAAAATCAGCTGCAAATCGGTTGTCATGGACTTTGTGGCATACAGATTCCCGAACATTGTTTTAGCAATGATATCAGAATAAGCAAAAAATACTAAGAAAATAATCCCTAAGACTGCAATTGTAAGGTTAAGTGCAGGCAGGTTTTATTATATAACGCAAAATTAACATTTAATACTAGAACAGAGTTTAAAAACACAAAGATATATTTTCATGACATATCCAAGGTGTGAAAGTGTGTACATGAGAGCGAGCAGAACCTCTGACAAGATGACTGCAGCTTTGGTGATCGCTTTGACCACTGATATATTCAGAAGCCAATATGGCAACACCAACTGATAATTACAGTATACTGTTAGGGTTTTCCTCCAACAGGGAAGGTGAGTTTATTGTTCACCTCCCCATCCAGCAGAAGGTGGAAGTGCATAAAAAAAAACCGTATAGTTGCCCAATAAAAGGAAGCAGGAGACACTTTCATGCTTTGGATGTTTGACTTGGACACACATTTTTTAAAAGCAAGTAAATTGTGTATGTTTATTAAATGCACAATTTTGTATTTCTCTAATATAAAATGAAAAAGTACTTTTTACTTAAATTTTTTAGAAGAACTGAGAAAAATTAATGACCAGCATAAGTGTAAATAACAAAAGTCTAGTTGGTGTCAACAAATTGAATTCTGAAAATGGGCAGAATTTTTGTTAAGTGTAATTTTATCTCAAAGGTTTGTTCACATTTTATTTGTTCCTCATTCGTGTAGTATATATATATCTTGTAGGCTGTATTTCATTACTTTCCACATTAAATAAATAATAGCTTGGTGTTGTGGAGTTTTATCAGTAAGAGCTGGTAGTTTCCTTTGTCAAACACTACTGAGGCTTCGGTTCTCCAACGGTCCACGTATCTGCTGCTGGCCTCAGCTCTCGGCACCCACACGTCGGGAGCCACACTGGCAACAAAATTTAGCTAACAGAACAGGGTATTTATGGCCACATTCATGGCAGAATCTTGGCAAGCGCATAGACGATGAAGCAGTGACTGAGTCTGCCTTATGAGTGGCAGATGGTGAAGATGAGGATGGGGTTGAAAGTGGCGGGAGAGATGAGTCTGATGAGGAGCTGCTCGAGGCTCGCAGCTGTGGGCCATCCACACTGTCACCAACAAGGGATAATGTAAGTTAATAACATTGATTCTTAAAAGAAAAAAATTACTGACATATTTCTTCAGTAAATTTATTAATAGAAAGCAAATAATGCATTAATGAGTATCTCTTGTAATATGTATAGTTGAAGGTAAAAATACACCAAGGTGGAGGATTGTAGAAAGGGGGTAGGAGAACAGATGTAAACAAGAAAGTACGATAATTTTAAGTTACTTAAACAGTGTCTTATCTTTCAAACAGTGGTAAAAAAAAATCTAGCTACATAATTTTGATATGCAAACTGTCAACAATCTGCTAACTAATAAACATAGTAATGATGCTTAGTGTGCTTGCTTTACCTGTCTACCTACCAGCCACTGCCTCACACCTTTTTCTCTATGAGAACTCCTTCCAGGGAAGCTCTTTCGTAAAATACTGTACTGTAAAGACACTGATGACCTAGATGTACATAAGGTTCTTGAAAAAAAATTTAACAAAACATGTGCATGGGGCAAGTAACAAAATTAGTAGACTAACAGACATTATCACACTGAACACGAACAAGGGGACACCATCAGTAATTTCAAAGCGTTATATGACAGAGTGCTGGGAAGACAGGACACCACGAGCATAGCTCTCATCTTGTAACTACACTTAAGTAATTACACAGGTGGAAACTGAGTACCCAAATGAGCTACAGAGACATTAGAAAAAAAAATTAATGTGTCAGGGTAGTTAACAAATGGAATGCATTAGACAGTGATGTGGTGGAGGCAGACTCCATACACAGTTTCAAATGTAGATATGATAGAGCCCAGTAGGTTCAGGAATCTATACACCAATTGATTGAGTTGAGAAGCGAACCAGAGTGCCAAAGCTCAACCCCCGCAAGCACAACTATGTGAGTACTTGGCTACAAGTATCTTTGGCACACACACTTGTATGGGTATCTAGATTAAGTAAAATGCAAAGTGTGTAGAAAAAGACATGGGCACACAGTAGAGCATTATAATAATAAGATGTAATAAGATGGTTTGCCATTTCACGTTTAGATTTATCTCTAAATGGCTCATGTTTTCAGTCTAAGATTTAATTTACCTTTGGGCCACTAACACTAGTGGCCTTGACGAAGACAGGAAGCCTGCGGTTGTCGATGATCCCCCCCCCCCCTTTGCCTTGATCTTTTCCAGTAGGATTTTAAATTTTAACAGAGTTTTAGCATTTACAGCTTGGGCGGGTAGGCAGTTTCATGGGTTTATAACCCAGTGGGTGAAAAAGATTCTGTTCTCAGTCATACATTGTGGCTTGTTGAGCTTGAAACTTTTGCTCCGTGTTTGTATTACATCTGACCTTTTGAAGAAATTGTCTGGATCAACATCCTCCAAATTGTTCAGTATTTTAAAAGTTTCAATGAGATCCATCCAGTCATGCCTGGTTTGCAGTGATGTTAGGCCTGTGGCCCTCAACTGTTCCTGATATGAGAGATTACTTAGGTCTGGAATGATTTTTGGTGCCTGGTGTTGCACTTTCTCCAGAGCAGCTATGTCGTTCTGAAGATGAAGTCTTCATACTTGGACATAGAAATATAAATGGGGCACACCAGAGATTTATACGGTTGAATCACTACCTTCTTTTCTTTCAAATCAAAGGTATGCTTGATTATTCAAGGGTTTGGTTAGCTTTTTTGACAGCTGCTCCTACCTGTTGTGTAACTTTCAATGAATGGTGGATTTTGGCTCTAAGGTCCCTTTCTTCATCAATCTGCTGTAATGTAATGTTATTAATTTGGTAGTTGTGGCATGGGTTGCTATGCCTTACATGCAAGGTTTTGCATTTGTTTTTTTCAAAAACATTTGCCATTCTTCTGATTATTTGTAGAGTTCATGTAGATCTCTTTGTAAGGCTTAAATATTATTTTCATTTCCCACTTTACCATAAATCTTTGTGTCATCTGCAAATTTGATGATGTGGTTCCTAAAATTCTCATTTATGTCAGTGATGTTTACCTGATTTATCTGATGGGCCACTATCACTAGTGACCTCGATGAGGACAGTAAGCTGGCAGTTTGTCAAAGATCCACCAATTTGCCTTGATGACCTTTTCCAGTTGGACTTTAAAATTTAACAGAGTTTTGGCATTTATGGCTTTGGCGGGTAGGCATTTCCAAAGGTTTATAACCCTGTGGGTGAAAAACCATCACCTGTTCTCAGTTCTACATTGTGGCTTGTTGAGCTTGAAACTGTTACTCCTTGTTTGTGTTACATCTGACCTTTTGAAGAAATTGTATGGATCAACATCCTCCAAACTGTTCAGTATTTTAAAAGTTTCAATGAGGTCTGCCCTGTCATGTCTGGTTTGCAGTGTTGTTAGCCCTGTGGCCCTCAACGATTTCTGATAGGCAAATTGACTAAGCTCTGGAATGATTTGATACTGAAGAGCTAAAAGCAGGCCAAAACAAGATACTAAAGATCCTCAAGTAGACCAAGCCACAATACTGAACAGCTTCAAGCAGGCCAGGCCATAATACTGAACAGCTTCAAGCAGGCCAAAACATGATACTGAACAGCATTAAGCAGGCCAAGCCTCAATACTAACAGCATGAAGCAGACCAAGCCTCAATACTAACAGCATGAAGCAGGCCAAGTCATGATACTGAGCAGCTTCAAGCAGGCCAAGCAATTATACTGAACCAGCATTAAGCAGACCATGCCTCAATACTGACATCTTCAAGCAAGCCAAGCCATGATACCGAACAGCTTTAATTAACCACTGAACTGCGCAACGTGCCTGCAAGTGCTCAATGGGTGGTATGCACCTGGGATCTTATAGGTATAGCGTACCATTGAAACTGAGGCCGTGGGGAGCCTCAGTTTCAAGGAAGCAACCATGTCGGACACAACATCTACGAACTCCTGCTCCACGGTCAGCCACGGTCATGCAAAATGACTCTCTGAGGAGGAAATACACGGCATTGTGTATGATGATGGTGCCATGGATGATGACTTAGATTATGATCCAGAGAAAGACATTACTCATAGGTCTGATATGAGTGAGAGGGAGATTGAGGTGGATGATATCGCGAGTGTGTACAGTACACGTGGCTCGCCGCCCTGAGTCAACACAGTTAGAGTCAACACCACCATGTGTGTCCTCTGATGCAAGTTTATTCAGTGATAATGCTTGTGATGAATCATTCTCGGGCTCCAGTGACATAGGCTCCGATACAAGTAGTGTTGACAACCCGAGTACGAGCAGCGAGGGTGTTACTAGGCGGGGTTTTGCTGCCACAGCAAGCCAAGGCAAGCGGCAGCATGGCATGTGTCCAGAAGACAATGACGACAGTGTTCCCTCGACATCAGGTGTTCGTGGTACGCAGAACAGCCTCATCTCCTGCCATACCTATACGCAGCTCTAGCACAAGAAGACAGAGCCGTGTTTCTGGTGCTCGTATGGTGTTGGTGCCAAAACCAAACCCCTGGCTGTACTTGTGTGGGATGATTGTGGGAGATTTGTCCCACAAATACCAACTTTTGATGGTACCGATGTTGGCGTGACACCATTATTCCCCTATTCAGGTGACGATATAGCTGAAATTGACTATTTCCTGGCATATTTCGACAGTGAATTCATGAACCATCTTGTGGCAGAGACAAACAGATGTGCTCACAGCCTCATAGACTTTAGCATTTTACCTGCCTCTAACATGACACGATGGAAGGACACCACAAATAACGAAATGTACGTGTTTCTTGCATAGAGCATGATGATGAAACACTCTGAGAAACACGTCATCCAGGACTATTGGAGCAAATGCAGCCTTGTTCCATCCTCCATGTTCCACAAGTAAATGTCACGTGATAGGTTCCTGTTGCTTCTCAGGTGCCTGCACTTAAAAAACAATGCAAATGAGGACAGAAACGACAGACTTTGAAAGGTGCGGAAGGTATTTAGTGATATGAGAGGCAAGTTTTGTGACTATTTTGTACCTGGACAGAATGTGTTGATTGATGAATTGCTAGTCCTCTTCAAGGGACGACTGGCATTCAAACAGTACATCCCATCAAAGCGGCACTGGTTTGGACAAAACTTTTTCGTGCTGTGCGACTGCAAAACTGGAATCGTCATGGACATGATACTGTATTCAGATACAGACGTCGACATACCAGCTCAAGAGCCACACGGGTTCTCCAGCAGTGTCGTCAAAACCTTCATGGTTTGAGGGTTTTTCAAAACCCTCAAACTGTTGCTGAACAAGGGGCATATACTGTTCACTGACAACTACTATACCAGCCCCTTGTTGACCAGATACCTCCTTGACCACAACATTGGCGTATGTGGCACTCTGAAGGCCCACAGGAAGGAAATACCAGTGTTTGGCATAGGTATTGCAGTGGGTGATTGCCAGCTGCGCCAGTGTGACAACATGTTATCAGTGCAGTGGAGGGACAGATGCGAGGTGAATATGTTGCCAACAATTTACACCGGTGCCATGTTGGACAGTGGCAAAGTGCACTTTCAAATACGCTTCCCTATATATAAACCCAATTGTGTCATAGACTACAACTTCAACATGTGCCTGGTAGATAAATGTGACATGATGCTTGGTGTTGTCGAGTGAGTGCGTAAATCTGGGAAGTGGACGAAAAAATTCTTTTTCCACCTCATTGATGTTACAGTGCTGAACTGCTTCGACATGTATCTAGTAAAAATCAGGCAAGAGACCCCCAATATGAACATTCAGTGTTGCTCTAGTGTCACAACTGCTTGTCAAGTATGGGAAGGAGGGCTCTGTTGCAACAGATGGGGTGCCAGCAACAATGCCACATGCATTTCCAGACAGACTGAGGGGGTAACGAGAATTTCCATGTACACATGCTCAGGTATATGCCAAGCACAGAATCACGGGACAAGGATAAACGTGCCTGTATTTTGTGCAAGAACACTCAATGTCAAGAACACAAGCAAAGATGCATCTCCACCTGGTACGTTGAGTGCAAAGTGCCACTATG